ACTCTGGTAACACGTAATGAGTTCTAGAAAGATCGGGGAACATCACGAATAATCCAGTATATAAGTGCGCCATGGCAGGAAAGGCTGCTACCCAGAAAGGTTGTTGGAACTGTGGAGAGCAAGGACATATGAGGAGCCAGTGTAAGAAGAATACTACTAATAAGTCAGCTTCGAGAAACCAGTAGTGGTTGGTGCTGAGGGACGCCCACCAACCCCCATTGTGAAAGTCCCAACAGCTAAGTGTAAAATGGCAAACACACATAGTGTCTACATGACAGGAAAGCTGGATTGCCAAAGGTGTGACTTTGTCACAGATTCTGCATCTCAGCAAACCCTGGATCACAAAGGAGTACCAGAAGCCACACAGAAGCTCTGTGGCGTGACAGGACATTATGCAAGGTTGTGGGGACCAGTGTGGGTAACTACTGAGCTCATGGGCATGAAGAACAGACACAAAGTATACTTGGCTGACATTGAAGACCAATGCATATTAGGATTGGACTATTTACTACCGAGAAAGTGTGTAGTTAACTTCGATAAAATGACGATTGGAAACAACAATGGACAAATTCCAGTAAGTGTTGCTGCATCCGTTGATTTGCATGTCACAGCACTTAAGTCAACTACAATACCCCTATGTCAGAGAAGATAATTTGGGGTAGGATAAAAGAACATTGCCAAGGAAGCCCAGTGCTTGTGGAAGACCCATCCACGCCAGCGGATTTGAAGATTGGAAGGTCACTTGTGGCATGTCATCAAATAGTACCTATAACAGTGGCCAATTTCTCTAAATGTGAGCAGACACTTAAGGAAGGGGCATTGTTGGGTGTGTGCCAGGAAGTAGAGTCAGTCAATGTTAAAGCAAGAAATAAAACTATAAAGAAGGGACATACACTTGCAGAACATTTAACAGACCTCTATAAGAAGAGCATAGTCCATTTCAGGAGCTGACCAGTGACTATCTGATTTCTCGACTATCCTTTCCTTAATTAGGTAATCCATGACCTTTTCTATCTCTGGTTGCTTTGCTGGAGCTATTCTCCTTGGAGGAATCTTTATTGGATGGTGAATGCCTGTGTTTATTCTATGATCTACAAGGTCTGTGCAGCCAAGGTCATGATCTCCTTTCGAAAAGACACCTGCAAAATTTACCAAAAGTTCCCTAACCTGAAGAGCCTGTGATGATGAGCATCCTTCTTCTGGACTAACACAAGGGACCCAAAATTGCTGTGTGGACTTCAGGGCTCTTAACAATATAACTGAAAGGGATTCATACCTGCTGCCAAGATTTGATGATACTCTTGATGCTCTAAGTGGAGCCAGGTGGTTTTCAACTCTAGACTTAAAGTTGGGTTTCCATCAAGTGCAAATGCCTGAAGCAGATAAACCTAAGACTGCATTTAGTTATGGACAAGGTCTCTGGCAATACCGAGTGATGCCATTCGGGCTTAGCAATGCTCCAGCAACATTTGAGAGGCTGATGGAAAGAGTACTGGAAGACCTACAATGGAGGATAGTCCTAGTGTACCTGGATGATGTCATTGTATTTGATGAGGAAATCTCCTGGCTAAAGGAAGTATTCAAGCGTTTGAAAGCAGCAAACCTTAAACTCCATCCCAAGAAATGCCACTTGTTCCAGAAAGAGGTGCTTTACTTGGGTCACAATGTAAGTGAGCTGGTGTGCAAACTGATTCTGACAAGGTGAAAGGTGTGCATGATTGGCCAACACCAGACAGTGTTGGAGAGTTAAGAAGTTTCTTGGGACTCTGTACCTATTATCAGAAGTTTGTGAAGGACTTTGCAACTATAGCTGTTTCATACATGATTTAACAAAAAAAGCGAGAAGTTCGAATGGACAGTTTCTTGCCAGCATGCTTTCAGAACAAAATTGGCCTCAGCTCCACTTTTAAAGCTTCCAAATCCCTCACTGCCGTACATACTGGATTGTGATGCAAGTAATGTCGGAAGTGGAGGAGTGTTGTCTCAGAAAGTGAGCGAAAATTACCATGTGGTGGCCTACTTTAGTAGGGTACTGAGTAGACCAGAGAGGAACTGCTGTGTAACACGGAGGGAACTCCTTGCTATAGTAAAGGGTCTGACATATTTCGATCCTTACCTCTATGGGACTAGGTTTACCACCAGGAAAGACCATGCTACATTACGCTGGTTAAGATCATTAAAGAACCCAGAGGGACAACTGGCATGTTGGATCAGAAAGATAGACCAGTATAATTATAATATTGAATATAGAGAAGGAAAATCTCTTGGAAATGCTGATGGACTGAGCTGAAGACCCTGACAAAAATGACT